CATTTACACGGAGTGGAAGATGCTGATATATCCATTTTACAGATGAGGTGACTGAGGTATCTCGAGGTTCACTATCCCGTCAAGGTCACAACTCGTGAAGGTCAGAGAAGGAATTTTATTTCCCACACATCTAAGCACTTGTCCAAACTGCCTTTCTAAAGACAATAAAAATATCCAAACTTGTGGTTCTTGCCTTCTGATCATTTTCATTTCCCTACAAAAGTAGTGTGTGTGTCCAGGCTTATCAGGAAATGGGCTCTGGTTTCTCTGGAAGGAAATGAATTCTGCATTTGGAATGTGTATTATTTCAGCGCACTTGCATCTGTCTAGTTCTTCCATTCTTGTTTTATAGGGCCTGGAGGCAGCAAACAGGCTTACCTTACAGCGTTTGAGGCTGAAGCTATTGGGTTTGTGATGTTGAAATAAAAATATCTGCTGTCTCTGCTCCAAAACTAACCCGGGGTAGAAATATAACAGGGATAGGAATTTAAATGTCCACAGGACCCAAGCCATCATTTAAAGCCACAGACTCAGACTTCGCAGCCTCATCTGCAAGCGCCCTCGGAGTTAACTCCTCGCTGCCCGGGCCGGCACAGCGTTCTGGGCATGCCCAGTCACAGGCGAGGACCTCGCAGTCTCACTTTCTCCAGGTTTCACCAGCTGAACGGGCGGGAGGAGACGGGGGAGCGGCGCACAGGTAGAGAACTTGGCTCGGCGCAGGATGCCCGCGGCGGAGGCGGCGCGCTCGCGGCTGCAGGACGAGGGGCTGCCGCGCCCCGCACCTACACGGACGACGGAGCTGGGGCTGCAGGTGGGCGCGTAAAGCCGGTGGGTGCCTCGTCCTTGGGGCGCAACTTGGGCGGCGGGTGGAAATCTGCCGTGGCTCTGGGGCCGGGCTCCGCGCGGGGCGGGGCGGGGCGCTGGTCGGGCCGTGGAGTCACCGCCCTGCACCGCCCCTGCCCTCCCGGGACCCCGGCGTGCCCGCCAGAAGCCGAGAAAGCCCGGAGGGCGGGCGCCCCAGCGGGGCCTGGGCAGGCTCTGTGCGCGGCGCGGGTCCCCGGCCCATCTCCCGCTCTCGGGTGGGGGAGGGCGTTGACAGGTCGGAGGCCCGCGCAGGACCCCTCCCGGACGGGCTCCCGGCCAGGGGCGCTGCCCAGGTAGGTGGGAGCCGGCCCTGCCTCCGCACCCCGGGCCGCGCGGGGAGCCCGGGGCCGCCGCACCCAGCGCCTCTGCAGCACCGGGCCCGCAACGCTGCCCACACCGGCCCGGCCCCGGGCGCTGTCCATGGTGCTGCGCAGAGCCGGCTCCTCCTCCGGCTCCGGGCTCGGCTCGGCGTCACGCAGCCCGGCCCTCTCGCCCGCCCGCTCCTAGCTGCCGCCCTCCCCACCCGCTCTCCGGGAGAGAAGGAGGGAGCGAGGGAGGGAGACAGAGGGAGACAGAGAGAGGAGAGACGCTCAAGCCTGGCGCCTCGGAGAAGGCAGCAGCAATCGCCTTGCCCCTAGACCTCAGAAAATCCGCCTTCACCCAGGCTTGCTTCAGGCTCCCGCTGGAGCTAAGGGGGAGAACCCGGCAGGTAAAGCAGCTCAGTCTGGCTGGGGGGAGGGGAAGGGGCGAGGCGAGCCGGAGAAGGATATCTCCCCGTTGTCACTGAGCCAGCATCTGCTACCAATGTACGGCGAGGGTGGGGGGTGGGAGGGTGGAGGGGCGTAGATCTTGGTTGTTTTGCATGAAGCCTTTTAAGTGACAAGAAGATGAGGTAGTGGATGGGGTAGTAAGTGAAACGCTAGATGCAGTAATTTATTATAAAAAGAACAGGTCGGTTGGAAATCAAAGCAATTAAATAAAACGTATCTATCTGCTCCCTCATCCGTCCACAGGACGCCTCTGCTTAATTTGTGCTATAGACTCCAGGCTCCAGGCAACTGCACTGGTATCAGAGAGGCGGCTTAGACACTGGGCGGGAAAGCCAGGGAGAATTTTGGGCGTGCACTGGTATTGAGGTACTTTGCAAAAGCCTAGGGGGGAAAAAAAAAAAAGATAAGCACTTCTAAAAAAAAATCTTTCCCCTTTATTTTAGGTGCTTTGTGAAGATATATACTGAAGGGTATAAAGGTGTGTGTGTGTGTATGTGTGCATGTGTGTGAGAATGTAAGCATTAAAATAAATGCAACTGCAGACGATGAGCATACTGTATTGATTATTCCAGTGACTTGGGAATGAATTTGATTCTACAAATGAAAGAAAAGATTAATGAGGCTGTTAGCTTTTGAATTAGAGCGCTTCTTGTTTTGGCTGCAGTAAGATTGTTTTTCCGATCCTTTTATTTCATTCCCTAATTTGTGAACTCACCAGGTCTTTCTGGCACCTAGATAGAATCCGCTTGTTTCATATACACACAGATATTCTGACACACAATGAGCTTCATCCAAGGGCTAGGACAGCTGGCTGACCTCCGGTACGGTGGGAATAGTCCTCTTGGGTTTGCTCTTTTTCCTTCTCCATTCCTTAAAAAACTGTCAAGGTGTGGAATCAGTAGAGGGGATGGGGTGAAAAAGGTTCTGCTATCTATGTAGGATTAATTAATAAAAAATCAGCCTCCATAGTCTCACATGCACATGCAGAAAAGGGTTTTCTGACATAGGAGCTTGAGAATGAGTTCAAAGCACTCTTGATTCTAACAACACAGATCTATTTTGTAAATTACTTAACATTTGGCAGATTTCTGACTTTTTTTTTTTACAAAAATGAAAGTATAGTGAATAATATACTATTATTGATGATTTTTAAGAGCACCTTTTTTTGGACTTGGCACAGGAGTAGACAACTGTAATTGCTGATGATATGGAATGTATCAGCCATAATAAATAAGCAACAGAGATTTTTCTTTCCTTTTGCTAATGAACACTGTGTGTGTGTGTGTGTGTGTGTGTGTGTGTGCATGTTGGAGAGAAAACCAGTCATCAGTCTCATCTGGGAAGGAACTTGAAGTGGGATCCCCTGGCTTGGTGGCTCGCAGCTGACACCTGTAGGGATTGCTCTGAACTGAAGAGAAATGCTCAGCTCTCTCCACGGAGGAGCAGCAGCACAATGCGGTGTCATAAATTATTGCTAGTTTCAGCTTGTAGGAAAAAAAAAGTGTTAATTGGATAGCGAGTTCCTGTGTCCAAGCAATAAATTGTGCGTATGGATGCATGTGTTGTCATGTGGGGGAGACACAAGAAAGGCTGAGGGAAACACTATGACCTGATGAACAGTTGTGATTTTTTCCCCAAGATGTGAGAGTATTTTTTGTTGTTAAAAAATTACTTAGAGGAAAAAGTCAGTATTTATGATTTCTGTAGCATTTTGAGAACATGTCGGATTAGAATTGAATGCAGAGATGTGATGGCACTGTGAGAGATTCAACAGTCTGGCTTTAAATTCTATCATCCTGGAGCCGTAGCACCTGAGGCAACACGCAAGGTGACAACTGCTGCTTGGCTTGTACACACTCTGTGGACTGACGGCCAGATGGGGCTTTAGGAAGAGGTGGATCACTTGTTAGGCAAAATATTAAAACACTGTACCTATCTTTAAAGGAACTAATAGATATTACTAGAAACACACACACGTGGCCCTAGTTAGATACTTTGTCCTATAATAGATTATTTAATAAAAAGGACTATACTTGCTTAAATGTGTAGGAGTCTCCCAAGAAAACATCAACATTCCAAAAAATAAAGTAAAAGGAATAAGGTACAAATCTGAGGTGGCATCTTACTGGTGACAGTTTAATCTGCTTTGCCTGTTGTAAAATTTGCAGTCACAAATATCTGAATATATTTGAATAGGTTGCCCACGAAACTGGCACATAATACAGTAAAAAATCTTGTTTTTAAAAGTGCCTTTTTTGTCTCTTCATAGATTTAAAAAATTAAAATTCCTCAGAAAAAGATAAGCATAATCAAATCTGTAGTTGAATAAATCTAGACGAACAATTAACAGTTATAGTAAGATCCAAAGGTATAATAGCTTGTTTTGAGTCCGATATTAAGAAACACTTGGCCTTACCTATAGATTGGAACAAAAAAGCTCCACCTAACAAGGTTCTTTTGCTTACTACTAGACCAGCACCAGTAAAATTCTTGCTTTCTGAGCCGAAATGACTTCTACGATTCTGACTATAGACCTTAATTCTAATTTTAATTTTCCACAGATTTCTGGATCCTTATAAAAAGACAAACTAAAATCAAAATGCACCACCAACACACAACCAATTGATATGCTGGCCTCTTAGCTTGGCCCTACGAAGGCGAAGGTGAAGAAGAGGCACCGTTGTGACCTAACAGCTTCTGGCTATTTGACAACCTCTAGGTTTGAGCCCTGTTGTTGGGGAGGCTGAAGACAGAAGCGAACTCCAGGCTGTGAGGCCACTGTGAGGCCACGCTCAACAAGGAATGTGGCGCTCCATGCGTCGTGTTCTGCGCCGGAGGCCCACGAAAATGACAGCAGAAACAGGCCTTTGAAGCTCCGGGCTTAAACAGCAGCCCTCTGTTCTGGCTCAGGACACTACCTCCCAGGGGAGCTACTTGAAGCGTTCAAAGAATCCTAGGACACTGGCTCACTGCTGGCTTTCTGACTTCCCCGAGAGAAGTGCTCTTCTGATCGCCTGCTTCCCTTCGGCCGGCGCCACAGTGGTGGCACCTGGCGGATGCCAGCGTTTGAGGCGTCCACACCGCAGACGCCCTTCAGCTAGGCCACGGGCCCCATGGATCCCTGACTGCCGGCCTTCGGCTCACAGCTCGGCGTGGTCTGCACGGTGCGTCCCGCCTGCGGCACCAGCGGGGCCCACCGCGGGCGAGGAAGGGGAGGCCGGAGCAGCAGCAGCCGGAGCTCTAGGCCGGGCGCCCGCCCGCCCG